TTGATTCTCGCCTTGATGGTTACGCAAATGTTGGATATCTATCTTACCCACATAGGGCACGTTCTCAAATGAGTTATGTCTTTACTGTTGGAGACACTACTATATCTTGAAGGTCTACCAAGAAAATGCTAGTTGCAACTTCGTCGAACCATGCTGAGATTTTCACCTTTCATGAAGCCTCGCGTGAGTGCTTTTGGCTGAGAGAAGTTATGGAACATATTCGAAGCACTAGTGGTCTTACATCAGTCGTTGACTTTCCTATGACGATCTTTGAAGACAATGCAACATGTATCGAGCAGTTAAAGAAGGGATACATCAAGGGAGACAACACCAAGCACATATCGCTGAAGTTCTTATACTCACACTAGCAGTAACAGCATCGGAACATTAAAGTCAAGCAAATCTGTTCCCAGGACAACCTGGCCAATCTCTTCACCAAGTCGTTTCCCAAGTCTACATTTTAAAAGCTCGTCCAAGGAATCGGTATGCATAAATTATCTAAGTTGAATCGCTTGTAGTTCTCTTATTTAGAAGTTATGTCTAACTCAGGGGGAGTATCTAGAAGTATACTTACATGATCTTAATGTACTCTTTCTCATACGATTAGGAGCATTTTTCCCACTAGGTTTTTGCTACCTAACGAGGTTTTAATGAGGCACCCACTATGGGATGATCATACTCTATTGAGTTCACTACCTTCGTCCTGTTTGACGTTTGTTTAAAGACATTATGCATACTTCTCACTTTCCTCCTTAATCTATGGGTTTCCCCCATGCCTTGGGTTTTACCTTAGCGAGGTTTTGTGAGTTTTACTACAAATGCATACTTCAATTAAATTTGAGACTCGGGATCACCCGTTGTGCCGATGACTTCATCAACTATTCTACCTTATCTGCTAAAGATCTGATGCAATGGTTTGTTGAGTATTTACACACTCAAGGGGGAGTGTTGCAGTCATATTTAATGTGATTGTGTAAATCCTAGTAGATTTGGGAATGTATCTTATATTCCTATTAGGAGTTGATTACCTATTAAATGTTGTAAACCTAAAGGGAAAGGTTTTTACCTATCATACTACTATAAATAAAGGCACAATGGAGTGAATCAAACACACCTCACAATTAAATCAATCTCTCTTCTGTTTAAGTGTTGGCCCCCTCTCTGTCTCTAAACCCTAGATCGTTCAATCCAATAGGCCTTCAACATTTAGCAGTTTTTTGACATGCAATTTTTCATTAATTTTTCAACACACAGACAAGATAGTCTTGAACACCATTGCTTCATCACTTTTCTTCATTGGTCTAGATATTCCAGAAGTAAATTCATACAAATCTGTGTAAGTGTGTTTACTTTGTTTAAAAAAAATGATATGTTCTTATAATAAAAGAAGGGCTATTCTCACAAAATTTATGAACAAATGTTCTGTTTTAACCTCTACAGCTTTTCCAAATGCACAGAACCTCTAGAAATACGGCCACCTTTTACAAAACAGACCGGTGAAGCTCAAATCTTGCAGACAGCGAAGAAGGTCACAATTGAAGGGTTGGCTTTTTTAGATCCAGATTTATACAAGGTATTACATCTTATTAAATCTCTTAATCTTTTGTTAAAATGGATGAGTGCATGTTCACACATTTGAGCTCAGAGAGAGGTAGTAGTCATCATTTAAATCCGAGTTCAAATCTTATTTTTGAGCCTTTTGTTTCGTCGGTGGTCAGGTAAAGTGTCTTAATTTTGGGTTAGTCTCTGTATCCACACACGTAATACATGGAACGAATTTGCACTGGTCCTTTGCAGTGATGATCTAAGGTTATGAATCAGTGTAAGAACCATTTTTCTGGATATATTGAAATATGTAAGAAATTGTTTCTCTACTATATTGAGTGAAGCAATCTCTTTCTTTTGAGCTGATCATGTTGGAGTATATTTTTACAAACTTGGTACACAATATGGATATTCATGGACTCTTTAACTTGCCCTTTTATATTTGTATTCAGTAAATATATATATATATATATATATATATATATATATATATATATATATATTTGTCTAAGTATTTGGTATATAGCTGAGTCATTGAAGTTCAACATTCCAGTGAGTATACTATCTGACTGTTACAATCATCTAGCTTTGGCTTAGGGTTCATCTTTTTGTTCACCATAGGAAGACTCACTAGACTAGTCCTAGGAAATTATGGGCCAGACATTACTCTACATGATACTTATTATCACATGCATAATCCATGCGATTCCTTAACAAAATTTGGTCGAACAATCACCATTAAATGACTTTTCTGTGTTTGACCTATTACTCGAATTTTATATATTTCAGGTTCCGGTTTGTGTTTTGTCGTTTTTTCAGAAGAGTAATTTTTGGTATAAAGTATAAATATTAGAAACATTCTACCCCTTGTTGAGTTTCTTCAATGAATATTTTGAAGTGTTAATTCTGCACCATTTTTAAATTTGAGCTTTCCAATCATGATTATATGATTATTTTTCTAATGTTAAATTGTGAAAGTTGGAATGTGGCTTATTTGGTTATACTTCTGCATTTCCTCTTCATTAAAATGTTTACTTACCCTCTTTTAAGTGTGTTTATTTTTGTATCTATTTTCTTTTCATGAATTTAGAAGATGATCTAGAAATTGGAAAGATACGACATACTCCGATGTAGTAGTTTGAGAACATATTATGGGAAACTTTGGGAAGGACATATATGTGACAGCCCGTCCCAAAATATATTTTTCGATGGTATGAATTGACTAGAATACCCTTGGGTGTTGAGTATATGGTGTAGTGTTGTGGTTTGAGTTGGGTGTTAGACTAATCTACACTAGAAGAAAAAAGCTCATCTATCACGGTGAATCCCCGTGATAAATTGCAATCCACTACAGACACTGTGCCCGTTAATATTCTAGATGTGATAAAAAGTCTCAGTTTCTACTACAGACTATGCCCGTTGTCAAAGGCAATATAACCACGGATTGTAACCGTGGTAGATTGTGAAGTTTGAAAGGGTTTTGAGGGTTGTCGGTACAGGTTGTATGGAAATGGCAAGAAATCCGAGAGGGAGGAGAGAGAAGTCAACGAGAGTGGTGTGTATGGTCCAGTTTTGGGCTACTAACAACCACAAAACCATAATTTTTAAGTTCAAAAAGCTTTGGAACTATTTGAGCTTTGTATGAGAAGTTATTTCCTAGTTTTGTGTAAATGCTTTGAATAACGTTTATTCAGTTATTTCGCATATAGGTGAGACCTATCTTGAGGACGAGCACCATCAATCGAGGCTCAGGGGCTACGACCCTTCGACATATCAGTGAATGGGCTTTTGGTTTTCCGTATATACCTATATACTTGAGTTTTTCCCAGAAAATGAATTTGAATGATTATACGTTTTGAAATGCCATGCAAAGTATTTCTCTATTTTAATTATGCATTAGTAGTTGCATATATATTTATGATTGGTGCTGGACGCACAGGTAAGTGCCAGGTAAGTTTATAAATTAAAGATATGAGATCGCTTCAGTTATGCGAGATATGATGTGATGTATTGAGAGCTCATAAGCATGCACCCCGTGTTAGTGCTCCCACCCAAAGTTAGGGCACAATCCTTCACATGATGTTCACCTCCCACACCATATGCTCACCTTGGATCTAAGTTAGGTGCACAGGCTTGTCATACATACAATTTTAGGTGGTTCCGACTCATAGGTGACCCACGATTATTCGCACAGCCTTCACGTGATCGTAGCACTAGAGGATATTTATTTTACACCTAGTCTTGTCATACAGACCATTTTAGGTGGTTCCGACTCGTATGTAGGATTTGATTTGATATGATTGAGATTGGTTATGAGCTATATACTCAGCCTTGCAGATTGAGTTAGAAGGATTTGGCTGATGCGATATTTGACCTTGATATATTTTGCCTGGATTACTTATAGCATTGCATTGAGATATGGCATGGTATACTTCTTTGGATTTTCATCTTGAGTATGATTTCTGATACAGCTTATTATTATTATTTTCTGGGAAATTATACAGGTTTTACGACGAGGGGTTAGAACTTTTGAGAAATGAAATGATTTGAAAAGCTTTGTTTTTGCCCACTCACACCTTCTGTTTTGTGCCCCTCCAGGTTTTAGGTAGAACTGCTATGGTGGATCGCAGGGATTTCGACGGTGATTCTGACCGAACATCATAAATGTAGGATCACACTTGGGTGTTGTATAATTAGCACTTGTCTTGCTTGATTGCACTTAGGTTATTTATACTCTGGTTGTGTATTTCACACTTAATCTTGCACTAGCACTCTATCTTAGTTAGTACTCTAGTTGATTTGGTTTTTGTTTACTCGTAATTCCTTATCTCTGTTGCTTCCGCACTGTGCACATGGCTACGTCACCCTCAAGTGACGGCCAGCACGTCCTGATTTAGGTCAGGGTGTGTCAATATACGTGAAAGGAAGACTGACAATGGGTTGGTGGGTAAACTGAATGTTTTAAAATCATCTTCTATTCCGCAATATTACACTAAGGAGTTTGGGCAACATTTACATGGTGTCACCTAGAAAGTTCGTTGCTGTATCATGTCATGTATTTTTAAGTTGGAGATTTTGTAGGTAGCCAGCTCGAGGAAATGGCCCTCAGTTTCTAATTACCGAGCTGAAGTTCATGCTCAATCACCAAAGTAGAAATGATTGCTTCTTTGTTCAAGGCCGTGTTGAATAAAAATGATTAGGGACATAATTAGGATAGCTTCTCTCACCACTGACATTTACTTTGCCACTTTTGTACCCAGTTTCCATTATGTAATTATCAAAAACTTCTGTTATATTCGTTTTATGAGAAGAATCAAGCTATATAACATTTCATACAATTTTCAATCCCGCAGTAACGCACGGGTACAATTTCTAACTGAAGCTAAAAATGAAATGATTACAATATTCACTTAAAGATTATTTGTGTAAAATTAAGCTGAATCATAATCCTTCAATATGGAGGAATACAAAATTGCATTAAACCTTTATAGGAGGATAAACTTACCCTTTTATTATACACATTAGTTATAAAGAAATAAATATCTTTATATCTTAGAAATATTGACACATTATTTTTCGTCAATAACTTGACAAAAATGCGAGTATTTAAATTGACAATTGTACTAGAATAATGTGAGAGTGGTCACTTGGGGTTGATAATCTGGGCCCTGACTGTGACGAATTAATCCCAGTGAATATTCCCATCCTCACTGCCCAGCTAATGCAGATATTGTCTGGGCCATGAGTTCGACGAATTTATCCCAGTGAATATTCCCATCCTCACTGCCCAGCTGCTGCACGAATTGATCCAACTCCTCCTCGGTGGGATCTTGCCCTAACGATCTCAACACATCGGCCAACTGATCCCTAGTGATTATGCCTGAAAAAACAAAAAAAATTGACGAATTATTAAATAGTAAGATGAATTAATCTCTTCTTATATGTGCTTACTTGAATCAGATTCATAGTAGAATAAAATAAACAACATCAACATAATCATGTACGGAGCCACCTTGGGTTCAGACCCCACTCATTCTTTTGGGTGGGAAAAATGCACATAATGCATATAGGAATCTCATGTTATAGAGCAGTTTCAACTATAAATTTTTTTTTTAAATTGATTGAAAAATTGGTTGGGAGATCAATGGATAAGTAATACCAGATTCTTTTTATAAAGAGATATTTGATGGTATTGGTAATTAAGAAAGCGTCAAGTGATATTGTAATATATTGTATTAAAAAAAACAAAAAAAAACAAAAAACAAACCTTATCGGTTAAAACTTAAGTGTTTTGTTCAATAAATTCTTGAGCTTTTCAATTTTTGACTTTGTTGTTTGAGGATGCCCCTATCCATATAGATATCTGGCTTCATCCCTGAACATAATAGTTCGGGGCAAAGTTTAGCCCCTCCATGGCTGGAGATTTATCATATGTTACCTATACCATTATTTACAATAAACAACATTAACATAATAAGGTAAGAATGTGTGGGATTGCTAATCATCTTTTTCCTTGGTGTTGGCTAAGCCTATGTGTACTCAACTGAAAAATTAGATCGCAAGATAAGTTCAGCCCAGTAAGGTTTGAAATTTTGCCTTCGTCCCTGGCAGTACGTACTTGACATGATACACACACACACACATCATATACATGTACATATGGAAAGAGGGATCTAACCAGTGCCATCTGGGTCGAAGGTATTGAATTTAGTCTTGAGCATGTTCAGCTGATCATCTGTCAATTGATCTGCCATTGTTTCTCTTCTTTTCAAATTAAATGCACTGTTTTTCTTTTACTCTATGGAAGCTCCGAAAGAAATGGAGCTATTTAAAGTGCATGCAGTTAGTTCTTTTGGTGGATAGCAGGAAATCTCGTTGCTCTGCTGCTTTTTACTGCACTTATTTGTTTTAATTTCTCCAATGACTACTGAAAATGCAACACTTGGAATTTGACTCGGGTTTTCTGGCTGAAGATAATAAGAGCAAATCCTCCATCCAATTCTTTGTATCTATATCTGTATAAAAGTGAGAAGACAAAAAGGTTAAAACATTCATAATTTCAAAAATACCTATTTCGAATTAAGATTTTAAAATAAAATAATTAAGAATATGATGTAAAGAGCAAATTGGCACACGCTCATGGCTAATATCTCTAATAAAAAAAATTAAAAAAAAACTTTTTGTTATTATTTTTTGCAAGTTTTAGTATCCAGTCCCTATTTACTAATGTTCATTGATTGAAACTTTATTAGTGTTCATATTTTAATCAAAGTCCCTAACATTAACGTATTAATGAGTCAATTACATAATTTTTAATACTCACACCTTTATTAAACTCTTAATTACTTTTCAATTCAAAACATTTCCCAAATAAAAATAAGTTTTGTGTTCCAGTCATATTTAGAATAGAAATGTGATTGTGTAAATTCTAGTGGATCTAGGAATATCTCTTATATTCTTACTATGACTTGATTACCTATTAAGAGTTGTAATCCTAAAAGGGTAACGATTTTACCTACGTACTACTATAAATAAAGGCACAATGGGGTGATACAACACACACCTCACAATTAAATCTCTCTTATCTCTCTTGCTACCACCAGCCTCCCTCTCTCTATTCCCTTAGAATAGCTCAGTTAAATAGGCATATAACCGTTATCAGCACCCTCTTGTCAGAAGCTAAAGAAATGACGGATTGTAGGAGGAGGCTCTCTTCTACAAAATTCAAGGGCTCTTATTTGTTTTCTGCTAATTAGGTATGCTTAAAATAAAGTAAGATATTTGAAACGTCCACGAAGCATAAAAACATTCCCCATGATGCATGAACCCCCTATGTTTATATTTTCCTTCCAATATATATATATATATTGTATATGTTTCATATATTTGTCAATATATATATATATATGTACACATTTCATGCATTACACAATTATTTTTGCTATGTGGAATTTGTGAGTCAAAGCATATAAATAAATTACAAGCAATTTAGAGTTTTTCAAAACCTAGAAGAAGAAAAAAAAAAAATTGGGAACTGTGTTGTACAACCGCCGCATCACCACCGTGACACCACTGGACCACCACTGGCCTAAAGCCCAGTCGTGTGGCGCACATCATGACACTGTGTCATTTTTTGACACCCTTGGACCACACAGCAGCAACCTTTGGGCTTGTTGCACTGACCTAGGCACCCCAGGCCTTCGGCCTAATAAGCTCAATAGGGCCTGAAGTCCCCTAGCCCAACCAAGAAAGCTTGAAACCTTCTTGGCCCATAGCCCATGCGCCCCAGCCCGCAGACACCCGCAGACTTGTCTGCTGGGCTTTGCTCGCCTCGACCCAGACCCAATAGCCTCTAGGGCTTTGCCCTACTCACAACACCTAAGCCCAAACCCTTTTAAGCTATGGTTTTTTGAATCCAATGTTATTATTTGGCATGTTAAATAATTGTAACCCGAATGTTATTATTATTTTTGCTTCCACAATCGATCATGTTTGGTCCCGATCTATTGAATTAACTAAAAGTAACCTGCAGTCTATTAATATGATAATTAATCCAAAATTATTGACCTGAATATCACTTTTGGATATTAACGATTTAATAATTTATTTGTATACTTTGAACTGTTGACATCCTTTTGTAGTCCCGAAGCACTCACACTTGAGCTCCTGAAGAAACTCAAATCCACTACACTTCAATCAGCACATTGCATTCTATGTTTCTTGCAGGAACCTCTCCTTTATGAACTAATTGTTCATGAAACTAAATTGAACATGTAGTTTCATATTCAATGCCTTAGTAACCCGAAGTTTTCATTCCAAACTTACCACATGAAACCTGTAGCTTTCATGTTTAAATTAAACCAATACGTGTCTATAGAACCCTAAATGTTCTACAATGTATGTCTTTGGATTACCATATGACTAACTACGTTTTGTTGTACCCTCTGTTTTAGGGACATGTCAAACTTGAACAAGCTTAATTTCACTGCACTGGAAGTCTCCGAAAGAAACTACTTGAAGTGAGTTTAAGACATGAAGCTCCATTTTACTACAAAGGGTATTAGAGCCACCATCGAGGCACCCACCGACGATAAACCCGTCGATGAAGCTCAGAAAGCTACTGCCATGATCTTCATTTGAAGACACATCCATAATGCACTGCAAACCAAGTACCTCGCTAAGGAGGACCCATGCACCATCTGGCTTGTTCTGGTCGACCGTTTCAATCACCAGAAAGACATTTACTTGCCTAAAGTAATACATGACTAGCAGCATCTTCGGTTCTAAGACTTTAAGTCCATGAATGAATACAACTCTGAAGTTTGTAGAATCCGATCACTGCTTAAGTTTTATAAAGTGGAATTAACCGAATCCGATCTCCTAAAGAAGACCTATTAGACTTTCCATGCCTCCAATATTGTCTTGCAGCAATATAGGATATAGACACGTACCAAATTTTAGGATTTAACCTCTGTTTTACTTCTCACTGAAAAGCAAAACTAGTCTTTGATGAAGAATCATCAAGCTCGACCCACTGGCTCGAACGCTAAGCTTGAAGCGCATGCAACCAATTCTAGCAGCCACAAACGACAAAAGAATCATTGTGGCCGTGGTAATGGGCAGCAAGCCCCACCACAGGCCCAAGGTCAACAAAGCCAAAGCCCACCCAAGGGAGGAAATTTGACCCAGAGGCGCCAACCCTTCCCCCGAAGGCCTGAAACTTCAAAAAAAGGGAAAAGCTATTGTTCAATCGGATTCCACTAAAATGGACATCTGCTACCACTATGGATCAAAGGATCATTGGTCACACGTATACCGAGCTACCCCCGAGGCACTTGCCAAGTATCATTCCCATCGTCAGTCTAACTTGCACATGTGGACCATCCTGAACATGCTACTACATCCATAGAGATATTAGATGTTCATGAGGCATCAACTCCTACGGACGAATAATTTTTATTCTCTTAGACATGTTTTTATGGTGTTTAACCCCTAGTGGCCGGACCCCCCCCCCCCTAATTTTTTTAGGTTTATGGTTTAATTTTGGACAATTTTTCTAAGTATTTGGAATAATTTGTTTGGTTTTGGTTTGTTTTGAATTATGGATAATTACTTTATGGATATTATTTCTCGATTTGATTAATTGAGTGAATGGAATTATATTTATGCATGTGAACAATTCAATCAATTTATTTTTAGGTATGTCTAGTGGGGAAGTTAGTTGTCTGGCTGATAGGACGCACACCATCTTGCGTGAGCGACACTATTTTACTAACTTCGTACCTAAGAAAGCACCTGTAACGACTCTCTCAGGCTCATCCAACCTGATTAAAGGATATGGAAAGGCCCGTATCATGTTGTCTAATGGTACAGTTTTAACCATTAAATAGACCCTTTATTCTCCATGTTCCGAAAGAATTTTACTGAGTTTTAGAGATATTCGAGATAATCAATATCATATTGAAACCACTTAAGAGAATGGTTCTGAATTTCTTTGTATCACTTCTTACGAGTATGGCCAGAAGCATATTCACAAAAAGTTGGAACATCTGCCGAGTGGGTTCTACATAACAACCATTCGTGGCATAGAAGCTCACCATGTGGCCGGCCCTATGCTTAAGTTCTAGAGCATTTTGATGCTTTGGCATGACCATATGGGACATCCCAAACGTGATATAATGCGCCGTATCCTCAAATCATTACATGGACATCATTTACCTCCCTCCGTTGGATTCCCACCATGCAAAACGTGTTCTTTGGGGGAAGTTGAATACTCAACCCTCACATACAAAGATTATTCACAACCCCCTAAGTTTCTTCAGAGGATTCAAAGGGATATTTGTGGACCTATCCAACCAACATGCAGACCATTTAGATACTTTATGATGTTGGTTGATGCATCGACACGATGGTCACATGTTTGCCTGTTGTCCACATACAACGCTGCATTTGCGAAACTCTTAGCACAAATTATTAAGCTAAGGGCTCGCCACCCTGATTATCCAATCAAGTCGATTTGACTGGATAATGCTACAGAGTTTACATCACAAACTTTTGACGATTATTACATGTCAATAGGGATTGAAGTTGAACATCATGTACCCCATCTTCACACCCAAAATGGCATGGTAGAAGCTTTCAAAAAGCACCTTCAATTGATAGCTTGGACTTTGGTTATGTGAACCAAACTGCCAATATCTGCCTAGGGCTATGCAATATTGCATGCAGCTATGCTAGTCTACCTAAGGCCCACCACTACCCAACCTTATTCACCGTTATAGTGGGTTACTAGATATGAGCCTGACATCTCGCATTTACGCGTGTTTGGGTGCATAGTTTATATGCCAATAGCGCCACCACTACGTACCAAAATGGGTCCTCAAAGAAACATTGGAATCTATGTCGATTATGATTCGCCATCAATTATTCGCTACTTAGAGCCCTGATAGAAGATCTCTTTACTGCATGTTTTACGGATTATCACTTTGATGAGACAGCCTTCCCATCATTAAGTGGAGATAAGCATGCTAACATTCCTAGAAAACGTCGCGAATTGTCGTGGTATGCTCCCACTATGTCTCATTTACATCACCGCACTGCCCAATCTGAAACTGAGGTGCGATCATTTATAGATCTTCAGAGCATTGCTCAAAGCATGAGAGATGCTTTTACTAACCTAACTAAGATGACAAGATCACACATACCTGCTGCTAAACACACCTGCAAGGATAGACATACCTCGCGTATGTCGTAACACCGCCTGAGAAGGCTGGTCCGTCCCCGAAGGTGGGGAACTGCACCTTCCGTGTGGCCTAG